TTCTATTTTGAAGCGTTAATCGTGTGTTAACTAATATGTTTCATCTATTGAGTGGAGCCTTTTGTCCCAAAGTGAAACGTTAGGGGTCAAAATACTCCAAAAAAAAGAATATGAGTCAAAATAACTATTTTCATAAACATTTGGACTATTTTTGAAATTATGCCTAATAAAAATGAAAAATAATTTTATTATTAAATTGAAGTATCATATTATAAATTAAAGTATCCTGTTAAATTAATACTACTGCAATAATCAGTTGACTCTTTTCACACCGAAAGACAGAAAAGGTGCAAAGCTACCTTTTTATCTCTTGTATACGTGTACCGATTTTAAAATTTAATTAAAAATATAAAAAAGTACAAAACATATAAAAAAAAAAAAAAATAAAAAAGAGGAATTCCACCACTATAAGGGATACGTGGCTTGATCCAAATAGAGATCAGAACGGGCCAAAAATGAGATAGAACAAGTGTCAACTCGATGAATGATTTACACGTGTCCAGAACCCATTGCCTTGTTTTCAACTTAGTCAAAAACAAAGGAAAAAACCTTTTAAAGTGGGCGGTAGGGACCCGCTTTGAATTTTGTATGGAGCTGACGTGGCTAGACGACGCGTTTTTAAATTAAAAAGTAGATTAAAATTGCGATTTTGTGACGCTGAGGTGGAATGACTGCAACGTGTTTGAAGATAGTGTTCCAATAGGAACATGCCACGTAAGAAAATGGCTAAAAACCTAATCTGTCTCTTGCACTGATTTTTTGGCGGTGACCGATATATTTACCGACCAGATTATATTTTTTGATCTAACACCCGTAGCAGTAAAATGCGCCCCTGACCCGCGCTATATGTTGATTTGGCGCCACGTGAGGTATAGCGCGCCCCCTGCACCGTGCTATACCTGTATATCTAGACAATTATATTTAGCGCGGACCCTGATCCGCGTTATACTATAATTACATATACCGCGGTGCAGGTGTCGCGCCTTGTATGACTATATATACCATTCTCCCCCGGTTATGTTCATCACATCTCTCCTCTCAACTTATAAATTAATATAATAATTTCGTCAACGAGTCAATAATTTTGGCAATCTTCTCGTATTTAGTTTAGAAGTTCGTGCGATTTTTCGTTATAAGGTAATTTTGTTATAAATTTTTTTTATTATACTTATTATTTATTATGATTATTTGAAAAAATGTTATACTAATTATTTTCAATTAATTTTTATGTTTGTATAATTGAAAAGCGAGAGTATACATCGAAATAGTTTTATGGTGCAGGTAATAATATAAAATTATATTATTTAAATTATTTACGTTGATGTGTAAAAATTTACTGTGTTATATTTTCGTTCATATATAATTTATTTAATCAGGTTTGTTTCAGTTATTTTTTTTGCAAATATAATATTACCACACTTTTAAACTCAAAAAATGACACAAGTTTAAGCTATTGTAATATAATTTGGTATTTAAATATAATTTTAAATACAACAAACTTACAATAAGTATTAAATGGTAAATGATAACCAAATTACAATAACTAATATTAAACTGTAATAAACAAAATGAACTGAAATATATTAAAAAAAGTCCAACAAATTTAACAAAATAAAGTAAATATTAAATGAAAAATAATAAAAAATTACAATTTAACAAAATAAAGTAAATACAAATATAATAAAAAAAAAAATCTATCGATGCCTGCGATGCGAATGTGTTCCGAAAGATGGTGGCTGTCGGTCTCGAGGATGATTTCTTCGTATCACTGATTCTGACTCCTCGCTGTCATCATCATCACCATCATTGTCGTCATCGTCGTCATAAGCAGGTACATTAGGTTGATGAAGAGCTGATGACGATGAAACACCTCCATAGAATAAGGACCTGGAGGTGTATAGAAATATCCTCAAGCGTGATCATACACTCTCCGCACGGAAGATGGAATGCGTGGGTCTCCGACCTCCACCGCTCTACTAAGGCATAAATAAGGTCTGATTCTATCTTACAGTGACCCTGATATCTACCTATGTAACCAAATCCATCCTCTACTAAATACGACAAGACACAGCTAGGTATCACGAACTTAAGATTCTTAATAAAATGATCTAATATACGGTCATTCTCTTAAAAATAAATAATTACAAAAATTAATTCTTAATCTAATATTCATGCATTAAATAAATCAACAAATTATTACTGATAATTTAAATTAAATTAAAACGTTAAAATGTTACTGTATCAGCAAAGTGTCGAGATATATGATTTCCATCTAAGCGAAGTATACCGCCTTACATTATATATCTGCAAAAAATTTATATTAGTAAAATATTAAATAAAGTAAAATACTTAAATAAATTAAATACATAACATTAGAAATATTATAAAATATACCTTAAACGAGAGAGTATTTGAGAGAATTTGAAAGAATTTGGTGTGATGAAAGTGATTGAGGATGAGGTATTTATAGGGAAGGGTGGGTGTGAACGGCCGGGTAATTAAAGCTATAGCGTGCCCCCTGCACCGCTCTATACCCCACGTGTCAGATAAATAGGTATAGCGCGGAGCAGGGGGCGTGCTATAGCCACGTGTAACCCAGCTAGCGTATAGCGCGATGCAAGGGGCGCGCTATACCCCACGTGACGCCAAATCAACATATAACGCGGATCAGGGGCGCGCTTTACTGCTACGGGCGATAGATCGAGAAATATAATCTGACCGGCGTTAGATCGATAAATATACCGATCACCGGTGATATTTCAAAAAAAACGTCGATTTTTCCTATTTTTTAAAAATAGTTTTATTATATTTTTACTTTAGAGTTTCAGTCAATATAATACACAAGAACTGTACCATAGTCATCTAACCACCCAAAATGAAAATCTAAGAGGACTTTGATTTTCTATAATCAAAGTAGGGTCAATCTTGCCACGAGGGTTACTCAACGAAAGGGGTACAAATTCTATTGAATCTTAATTTGAATGATATTTTTTTTTAAAATCATAATTTTAAAAATATTTTAAAAAATTTGATTAAAGTTTTAGAAAATTATAAGTAACTTTTTTTTGGGATAATTAGATGAAAAATAATTTATTAGATCAAATCATTTTTTTTTCATTTTACTGATAATCATCAGAAGGAGCCACAAAACCTCAGCCAATAATCCGTCTCTTAAAAGCTGAAGTTAATACAATTTTTATCGTTGTATTGATTTCTAATTTTACAATTTTTTTTAAAATAAATAAATTAAAAGGCATTGTTAGGGGTAAAAACACAATTTTACCATTGTTGACTTTTAATTTTAAAAGGCTTGATATAATTACTAGGTTTCACCTCTAGCGGACATTAATGTACATTGAGAGATAGAAATTTAATTCGAAATTGATAGATTTTAATTTGATTTGATTAAATTGATTTAAAAAAAAAATAAGTTTGGGTCAGATTTTTTTTGGGTATACTGAGACTTCGCCTGAGACTAATCCTCTGAGGTACTGTCGGGCGTTAAAGGTGGGGGACCTCTCCCAAGAAAGTTTGTTGCATCCACAAAGGCTCGAACTAGAGACCACTTGCTTAAGTGACCAGAACCCCTTCCACTCATGCCAACCTTGTTGGGATCAGATTTATAGTGAAAAATCTCTGACATGATCTGACTCGAGATAATAATATAAATTTTTTTATAAATTTAAGGATAATTGGTATAATACCCCTATCTCTATAGTTTTTTAAAATTAAGTATATATTTTATGAAATAAAAATATTTTCTATATATTTATATCAGTCTCTGTTAGATACAATTTTTTAACTTAAAAAATTCAGGTTGAATCGGGTTTGAGTGGAGGAAATATTCTCCTCGGGCCGGGTAAAGTTCAGGTGAATGGTGTATGCTTCTTGGTAGGGCTACAAACAAGATGAGACAGATCGTAAGCTACTTGAGTTGAACTGGGTCAACACTTGATTCGAATAGACTCGAGTTTGAACTTGACTATGTTCTTAATAAGCTAAAGCGAACTACTTGATATTTGACTCAAAAAACTCGCGAACAATTTAAATATATATATTAGAATTTTAATTTTAAAGTTAAATTATTAATAGTATTAATATTTGTATGTTATTTAAAAAAATACAATATAAGATTTTCATGTTTGAGTTCGAGTTTAAACTTGAACCAAGTTCGAATTTAAGCTTCAACCAAGTTAAATCTGAGAATGTTGCGAGTTCAATTTTTTCAAAGCTCAAGTTAAACTCAAATTTAAATATTTTAAGTGGTGTCAATTCAAACTCTATAATACTCAAATTCGATTTATCTCATTTACACTCTTACTTTTTGATCATATATAAAGGAATTGAATCTGGGCAACAAAGGGTTTAAGAGTACTATCCATTCAACTAAGTCCATCACTTAATTAAAGGTTGATAATATATTTTATTAAAAAAAATTATTAGTGAAAATTAAAGGAAATGAAAATAGAGTTAATTAATTTGAACTTAGGTCTATCGAGGTACAAGTATGATTTAAGCGTCCAAATATTAATTAAGATTTTCATTTCAAGCATTGACTTAACACTATAATGTAAATAGAGATGTGATCCATAAAATATAACTCAAATAGTTTTGTGATCAGATTTTTTCATATCTCGACGGATAGGTTAACATCCAACATAACACCAAAAATTTAACGAATAAGAATAAGTTTACAATATATGAATAGTCGGATTAATATTTTATAACTTTTAATAGTGAGAAGACTCAACAAAACAGTATCCTGAGGACTTAACAAAATAAAACTTACAGTCAGGACTTAACAAAACACTATTTGCCCTAATCAAATAGTGTCAATGGAAGTAGCATCAAATATCATAAGAGACTCTTTTATCCTGGATTGACCAATGAGATAATTCCACGTGACAACAGCAGCCAAAAACAGTGGCGAGTAGCACAAACACTCCATACAACCCTAAAACCGAATCAAAAGAAAAAGCCAAGGAAAAAGAAAATCTCAAGGCCACAAGAACTTGTGGCTGAGAATCAAACCATGGTGATGTCGTGGCATCCACCTCTCATTTATACCCATCCTGAAAACCTCAACGCACTTCAAAACAATTTACCAAACCCAAAAAAGAAAAAAAATTCACCACCTACGAATTGTCTTAGCTGCTTTTTTTGATATTGTTTTTCTCTCTAGTGTGTCTTGTTCGGTTGTTGAGAAAATGCAAGAAACTAAAGACCCCGGGATCACGTTGTTTGGTCAGAAGATTCAGTTTCCTGCTGTTGGAGCGGAGGTTTCGACTATCTCTGTTGGTGAATTCGACAAGGCAGTAGTAGAGGATGAAGAGGGCGATGAATTTATTGATGATGAACAAGGAGAAGAAGATGAAGAAGAAGTGGAAGAGAAAACAGAGCAGGTTGGTGAAATTCGATTCAACTATAAAGATTCTTTTAATCTCTTTGGAGATCTTAAGGATTGCCCATTTCCTGAAATGGTGAAAATATTATTGGGTCAATTTTACTTTTTTTCCCCTTGATTTGATTTTACCATTTTTGGTTTCCTACTCGTTTTTATCCCCCTCCCAAAAAAAAATTATTTGGAGCTTTGAAATTCTTTTGGAAACTGTAATTTTTTTTACTTGAATTACGGTTTAATATTTAAAAAATCAAATTGTAAAGTATTTATTTAACTTCCAGACTGTTTTTACTGATCTAGGGTTTGATTATTGAACTAGAAAATAATTAGTTCTGGGGAACCAGAAATTATTATACTGGAAAATTTGAAGTCCTCCTTCTGCCAAATGTCTATTTTCCCAGACTCGATCAATTTTTTAAATATCTTGATAAGTGTTTAGCTTATTAATTGAATTGTTAAAAATTCCATGAAATTTCACATAAAAAGGAGCGGGGCATGGTCTTCGAACCCTTAAGTCATATTTTTTATTTGTTTGTTTCTCGAGAAATTTGTCTGATTTTCTTGATTCTTTCTGAGAATCTTTTTGGTTCACAAGGCTTCGTTTCAAGTTTCTTATTGGGAAACCTTATTGAATTTCAGGATTCTTTAGCAGGGAAGATTGCTGATACTGAACAAGAAGATGACGTCCACGCTTCGTATAGAGAGGAATCGGAAAATAATCCGGAAGCATCGCCGGAGACTAATGTAAACCCGAAAACTCCCTCGATCGACGAAGAAAATGGAAAATCGAAGACCGGAAAGGCCGATAAAGAACGAAGTGATGGTACCAAGTCACAGGAGAAAACACTTAAAAAGCCTGATCAGATACTTCCATGTCCCCGCTGCAATAGCATGGATACAAAATTTTGCTACTACAATAATTATAATATTAATCAGCCTCGTCATTTCTGCAAAGCCTGCCAAAGATACTGGACCGCAGGCGGTACGATGAGGAATGTACCGGTGGGAGCTGGTCGTCGTAAGAACAAGAACTCTGCTTCGCACTATCAACACATCTCGATATCGGAGGTTCTTCAAGCTGCTCGAATGGATGCTCCTAATGCAGGACATCATCCTGCATTGAAAAGCAATGGCAGGGTCCTTAGTTTCGGCCTAGATGCACCCATATGTGATTCCATGGATTCTGTCTTAAACCTTGGGGAGAAAAAGGTTCTTAATGGTACCCGAAATGGATTTCATGGCCTCGAAGAACAAAGGGTTTCAGTCGCAAACAGACGGGAAAACGGTGATGATTGCTCGAGTGGATCTTCCATCACAGTTTCGAACTCGATGGAGGGAGGTAGAAACTGCATTCAAGAAAATATGGTGGGGAATATTAACGGCTTTCCTTCACAGGTCCCTTGTTTACCTGGTGTTTCTTGGCATTATCCATGGAATTCTGCAGTGCCTCCACCGGCATTTTGCCCGTCTGGATTTCCCATGTCGTTCTACCCTGCCGCAGCTTATTGGAACTGTGGGATTCCCGGCACTTGGAACGTTCCTTGGATGTCTCCTCAGTCATCCTCCACTGCTTCAAACCAGAAGGCTCCAACTTCGGGTTCAAATTATCCGACGTTAGGGAAACATTCAAGGGAAGGGGACACAACTGCTAAATTAGATGATTCAGAAAAACACAAGCCAACAAAACAGAAGAACGGAAGCGTTTTGGTTCCGAAAACATTAAGGATCGATGATCCAAGTGAAGCGGCAAAAAGTTCAATATGGGCAACACTCGGGATCAAGAACGAATCACTTAGCGGGGGAGGGCTTTTCAAGGCCTTCCATTCAAAGAGTGATGAAAAGAATCATGTAGCTGAAGCATCACCAGTATTGAGAGCAAACCCAGCAGCATTGTCAAGATCCCTCAACTTCCACGAGAGCTCTTGAAAGCTAGGTGCTTGATATAGGCCTTAAATACTTAGGAACCACTTACTGGCGTCGTCTTGTTGGATCAGTTCAGGAGTTAGCTGCCTGAGACAAAGACCAGAGACCGGAAAGGATTGGAAAAGGAAAAAAAGGAGGGTGTAATCCCCTTTTCTTTTTCTCCTCTGTAGGATGAGAAGCTCAGGGAAAACTAATTCTCTTCATGTAACAGTACAATAAACAGTAAATATATATGCCTTTTGATTTTTACTTGGGTTGCTCAGTTTGTATTGATGTATATATCTCTATATATGTAAAATACCATGACGGTATTGGAGAATTATCCTTTAGATATATTGAACTAAATTTTCATACTGAAGCAGTGGAAGTCTTTTTCCTCGTACTTTCATCTTCTCCAAAGAAACTCGGTTTTTCTTCGAAGTAATCGTGTTTGATATCTATATGACACATGATTATCTAAATACGACAGAACAAAACTGAAAGGAATCGAACACACCCGTATCAGATACCGCGAAAAGCTGAGGAAGTGGTAACAACCATGGAAGAAACAGTGCTATCATGGCACAGCAAAGAAATGGAATTTTCATTTTGAAGGACCACCTTTTTGTTGAAGATAAGCTTGAAAATTTTATTCAAAGAAAAGACCAAATAACTTTCCTTTTCACCAATGGAATCCAAACAACTTGCATAAAGAAAAGGCAAATTGCTTGGCTGAGGGGGATCCCTGATATATGTATATTTTTCTCCAAAGCTCTTTGATATTATATTGCATTTGCTTTTCTTTTTCAAAACTTTCTTCCATACGTCGCTGCAGTATCATTCGCTTTGCTGCAGTGAGAAGCAAAATCAAGTGTTAATTAGACAAAAACCATGTTTACGAAAGTCGGGTCGCGTTGAAAGTCGATCATATGGATATGTAAGAGTTAATATACCCATATTTTGTTTAAGCAGAAGGGTTGATGGATGTGGTCCATGCATGAGTAGGTTCAAGGGGGGAAGCAAAAAGGTAACGTTTAGATATTTTGTTGGGAAAGCAGGGGAATAGAGACCACATGTTATGGGAGTTTTAGTTTGGACTTTGCCATCAATTCATTTTGTCTTTCTTTATTTCTTCCTTTACTTTTTCCGGGAAAGCAATCGCCCCATTGCTTTTCCTCCATTTGCCTAATTTCAGTTTCTGTTGAGAGATGTTAACAACAATTTTAGTTTGGTTGGAGATGTATGTCCCCCAAACGGTTTCCTTTGGATTTTTCGAGTTCCAATCGAGTTCAACAATACTGAAATTTAATTCGTCTCATTTACATTCATATATCCCTTAATTATCCCTCGTTAAACCCTCGCCACTTGTAACTTGTAATGTTTATATTTAATTACGTATATGACCGAATTTAACAAACATTTGAATGAAAAAGAAAGAATCCGGACGACATTAATGTCAGTCCTAACTGTTTACCTAATCCGGGGCTGCTGCCATTGTTTATGAAATGAAGAAGAAATCGTGTTAGTTTGGGCAAAGTAAAGCTTCTTCTACTTCACATATTTCAAACCCTAAACTAGTCATAAATTCGACCAACTTTCTTCCTCAAATTTCATGTTCAAGCCATTAAAACTGTGGTCCTCATTTTCATGCAGCCGCAGCCCTTAACCCATTTTTTGTAATATGCATATTCAAATTTATTATATTAATATAAAAATTGAATCCAATTTAGAAGTAAATGATTCTAATTTTTAGGGGTTTTGGCAAGTTTATGTCATTACTTCTTAGGTACATTCATATATTAGAAAAATTATATGTATGACATTATTTCTTAGGTACACTCATATATTATGCACATTTTAATTTTACAAAGAGAGAGAACAATATTTAACAATTATAAATTAACAAGTTCAACTTGACTTAATGGTTAGTAATTTTCCACTTGTTAATGCTAAGCCAATGTTAATCTTTTTGCATTTGGTGCTTTTTGGCACGAGAAGACACACACATACTTAAGTGTGTATATATATGACCAATTACTTTAACGTTGACTTTATATTAAAAAGTAAGACATGCAATAATTGGCACTAAAAAAGTCTAGCCCCCCACCACCACAACTTATCTCTTAAACTTGGTGATTTTTATTGTTGTTTAAACCTTGAAGTGGAGATATGCATTCTAAAGCATGGTTCAAGAAATACATTTAAATTAAGATTAATTCAAAAACATTTAGAGTGATTCATGTGGTTAAAGAAAATTTATTCTCTGACATGAATTCAAGTAACATAGTCTGTATTTTTGCGTGAGTTTAGATATAAATCTTTAAGAGAAAAATAATTAATTTGGATCAAATTAAATATTAAATAAATTTTTAACAAATTAGATTACGTATAAAACTCTTAGGAATAAGTGGTTATTACTATAAAAGAATATGTACTAGTCAAAATAAATTTATTTTTTTAATTTAAATTTTTTATTCAAAAATTTTAAATATATATATATTTTTTAAAAAATACAAATGATCCGAACATGTCTTATAATTAAAATAGAGGGGGAGGGGGGGGGGAACCCAACATCTAAAAGGGCAAAAAGTAAAAGCTTTATTTGGAGTTGAAGTGGAAAAGATGTTAGAGAAGTGGAGTTGATTGGTGCAATTAAAGCAAACTTTGAGGGACTATAAAGTCAACAAAGCTATACCCTTTTTGTCAATAAAGTGGTTTTCTATATTTCAACCAAGACATGCAAAATCATTTTCTCCATAACTGTGAGTTTTGTGGGACGCGTGTAAGGCATTACATTGAGGTTCCATTAAGGATTACCCCATTACAAATATTAATATTAAAATCTTATTAAATACATTAAGCTAAAAAAGAAAAATAAAAAGAAAAAAGAAAATTGATAAATAAGGTGGTTTGGATGTCAAACTACACTAAACCTGTTACCAACATTAAAGGTGTATATATAAATCCTCGTGTAAGATTAGATAAAGAATATGGATTCTCTCTTTTGAGATCTCTCTAATCTCTATACATCGAGTATCATGTTCTTCAATAAATCAAAATCATCGACTGAAACTCTTTACCTAAACAATATAATTCCATTCTTCCATCAACAATATTATATAAATTTTAATTATTTATATATTAATATCATATTCATATTAACAATTTTATCCCCCAACATCTGATTGCCATGTAGAAAGTCCAGACCCATCAACTACCATGGCTTCTAGCCGGGCTTGTATAATGAACCAGTCCAGCTTAACATTTCACATGCCGCATCCAGACCCATCAACTACCATGACTTCTAATAAATACTATTCACATTTCTTTTTCTTTCTGTGCCTCTAAGAATATTATGTTAATTGCTAAATAAATAGTACTTTTTAATAAAAAAACTGAAGTCGTCTTCTTCGAGTTCGTGCAATTAATTAAGTAGAAAAAAATTTATTAAATGATTTTAATGATAAAAACAAAGTGTTTAAGTATTTTTTTTATATTTTGTGTCATTTTTTTGGTTTTGTAAGGAAATTTTCAATTTTAAATTTTGTAAAATAATAAATAAATATTATACAAATTTTTTTTTTTTTGAAAATCTAACCTAATTCAATTATAAAATAATATTCTGCAAGGGATGGAAAGTAGTGTAGAGATTCTTTATAGAAATTTCCATGAAGTTATTCTATAAAAGCAACCACATTTTCCATATACATATATCCTCAACGACCAAGAAAGTACTAAATAATCAAAGTTAATGCCTGGAAATTGCATATCAATGCATTGTTTTTCCTGGCCTTTTCTATATATATATATATCAGAGCAGTGTGGCATCCACACTCCAACTCGACTCATTTCTCTGCAAATTCTAATACAAAATGCAGAAATCATCATCAAACAAGATGATCACGCTGTGTGGAATCATGGTATATCTCCTTCTTCTTAACTTCGCATTCATGCTGCGTCATTTCTACTCGAGCTTTCATTTTATTCTCAGCATACTCAAATCTTTCCTGGTAATCATTTCTTGCATCCGCGTTTCTTCCTCCGCGACATCCGAGAAAATTTGCAGGAACAGCGAGAGAACTTTTAGCGCAAACGCCGAAGATCGAAACCCGTCGGTTTTGGAACTGAAAACGGTGACAGAGAACGAGGGGATGGCCGATATCGATGGACTGTTCGAGGAAGAAGAACCGAGTTTAATGTAAGTGAAAGAAGCTTTCGACGTGTTCGATGAAAACAAAGATGGGTTCATCGATGCAGATGAGTTGAGGAATGCGTTGTTTTCTTTAGGTTTCATTAAGGAAGCTAAAGGAGACGATTGTGAAAGGATGATTAAAGGGTTTGATGATAATTTGGATGGACGAATTGATTTTAATGAATTTGTAAAAGTTTTGGAGAGAAGCTTCTGTTCATGAAAATTAATCTTCCTTTCATTTTCAATACACTTGTATGTATTAGTTCAAGTTAATCTAAAAGTTATCATTATTAACCTGGATTAATACAAGAAAATATATGTTTAAAGATAACTCTTAATCATTTGATATTAAACACTCACGCTCTTAACATTCTTGGTGTTCAAACCCGAGATCTAAAAAAATAATAGCAATTCCATTATCATCTAGATCGCTTGGTTCGTATAGTTATTAATTTATTATGTATAAGAAAATTTCACTGTATATTTTATTTTGGTTTTTCTTCTTCTACAGTTTATATTAGTCTTATTTAGATTTAACTCATGTTATGATGTCAAATTTACCTATTAACCTTAAATAAAGAGTTTATTGCACCATATGTTCTCAAAATATGATTTTCATTTAAAATTGGTCCCTAAATTATTAAATATTCCAATTTAATACCAAATTATTATTACCGTTGTAATTAGTCCTCCAACTTCTGAACATTTCAATTTCATCCCAAGCTATGACCTTTATTATAAATTGGTCCCCAAACTTTTTGAACATTCTAATGTCATACCAGACTATACGTATATATTAATCACGTCCCTTTTTTAAAAAATCGTTAGGCCAAGTTATATTATTACATGTTTGAAAGAAAAAAAGCAAAAATTAGGTTAAATTATGGTTGAAACTAGTTATGTATTTGGATGAATTTGGGGATGAAATTGGAACATTCAAAAGTTTGGGGACCAGTTTAAAATGATTTTATTAATTTAAGGATAAAATTAGAATGTTCAAAAGTTTAAGGACTAATTTAAAATGAGAGTTATAGTTTAGAGACATATAATGCAATTAGCTCTTTAATAGTTGATAATTTGCGTTTATAACTTTGTTTTAAGAGTTGAGTTATTCTTTATTCAAAGTTTAGAAAGGTTCAAGTAAAATACTATGTTCGAAAATGAGATTGAGAAAAAAAATAGAGTCATTTAAAATATAATAATTTTTGAATACTAATATTCGAGATATTCAAATTGAGCACGAACCAATAATTTTAGTGTTTGAAAATCTTTGATCAAATATTACATTGTATTCACATAAATTTATCAAAAAAAAAACTAAATTAATCTATATTCATATTATAATTGGACTGTCATAATAATTGAACTTATAATTGATAATCATATATTATAATTGGGTGACAAACATAAATTAAATAATAACTGATTGACTAAACATATAGTTTACCTAATAATTTTTTCTTTGATAAAATTAGACTGGATATAAGATAATATATATTTAAAAACTTTTAACCATTTGACAATAAAAATAATACCAACGTTGTGCTCCAAACCTGTAATTGGATAAAAAATGCTCACAATATATACCCAGATGTGATTGATAAACACATGTCAAGCAACCATTGGACCTTAAAGATGCGAACGTGGCAGTTAGGCAAATGAAAAATGGGTCCCAGCTGATCATTTATCAGCCAATAACAAGAAAGGAAGAGATTTATGGATATGAAAATAGATAATGCAAAGAGATTTATAGATATGTAAAATAGATAAAGGCGATAAGTCTGAGTTCATCCCAACCGTCGAATCCAACAAAATCGATTAATCAAATCCAACCTTCAATGTCAACCACACATGCATGGCAAAATCCAAGTACAAAGCTAAGGCTTAAACCATGCACTCAAAACATTTTTACTTTCCGTTACCTTTCAACCCATCTTATTCTTTCTACCCGAAATCATGGCCACCGTCACCACACATGCCTCAGCCGCCGTATTCCGGCCATGCGCATCGAAAGCTAGGTTTCTCACCGGGTACTCCAGTAAGTTAAACCGACAAGTTTGCTTTAAACCAATGACTGCTTCATCAAACAGCTCATTCAAAGTTGAAGCCAAGAAAGGAGAGTGGTTGCCGGGTCTACCTTCACCGGCTTACCTCAATGGAAGGTACACCTTTTCATTTATATTATATGTTATCTAACTTTAGACGCACGCAAAAATCTATGCGAGTAATGTGAACTTCAGAAATTATATTAGAAATGTCTAAATTATATAGGAATTTGATGCGACCTCACCCTAGTATCCTCTTGGTCCATCCATGCATTTAATGATTATCGAATCTCAGTCTTCCAGGCGACAATGGCTTTGACCCCCTTGGATTGGCCGAGGACCCCGAGAACTTGAGATGGTTCGTGCAAGCTGAGCTGGTGAATGGGCGTTGGGCAATGTTGGGTGTTGCTGGGATGCTTTTGCCTGAGGTTTTCACTAAGATTGGACTGATTAATGCTCCTCAGTGGTATGATGCCGGGAAATCCGAATACTTTGCGTCGTCGTCGACCCTTTTTGTGATCGAGTTCATCTTGTTCCACTATGTGGAGATCAGACGGTGGCAAGACATCAAGAACCCGGGATGTGTGAACCAAGACCCTATCTTCAAGCAATACAGCTTACCCCCAAATGAATGTGGATACCCCGGTGGCATTTTCAACCCCCTCAACTTTGCTCCTACACTTGAGGCCAAGGAAAAGGAGCTAGCCAATGGTATGTATAAATATGTATCCGACACAAATATATTTATGTAGCCGACACGAATTAAATACATCGGACTTACTAAGGCTGTATATTGTTTGAACATGCAGGGAGATTGGCAATGTTGGCATTCTTGGGATTCATAATTCAACACAATGTGACAGGGAAAGGACCATTCGACAACCTGTTGCAGCACCTCTCAGATCCATGGCACAACACCATCATCAACACATTCAGAGGTTACTAAAACCAATTTAGCAGTTGTGAGTTTCCTGCTGTTCTTTTGAGTCGAGATCTAAGCATATTCTATTGCAAACAAAAATGCTTCAATGGAAAACTTCAGACTGCATGTCTAATCTTATTCATATATTCAAACTAATGATAGTAACTGTTAATCTTAATTTTAAAAGAGTATTTTTAGTGTACAATTTGGGGGATTAGTTTTCAAACCCATCCCCATTAAAACTGTGCTTAAACAAATGAAAAAAAAACAAAGAAATGAAAAGGAAGTTCATATACAGAAGAAGCCAATAATCATGTTCAGCAGGAAACAATGGCCAGATATCAGATTCCATCATAAAACCTCTATTGTTGGATCAATTCCATCAGAAGAAAATGTCATAAACAGGAAATGTTTGGGATTCGGATGGATATCTGTGAGTCACTTCAGCTACAAATTATGGCATTGGCCAGATGGAGGTGTTTGATTCATGAAAGTCGATTTCGAAAGCTGCAATAAACAACGGATCCAAATCAATAACAAATTCGACCATACAAAAAGAAATTTATAAATAATCCACTAACTTATATCCTAGAGTTAAGGCTAGAAGTAGAACAAGACACATGGTGTTTCCTCACCTGATGGTAAGAATTCCCATCAAACATGGCAATGCCACAAGGGCCAGAAGAAGATATCCAAGCTTGATAACCATTATTAGACATGGGTCTCGGGGCTTCAAAGTCGGTAATAACTTGGAAAACTCCAGGATTTCCTTGTAAGTTCCCTGCCATCTCGGACTTCAACTTCTCATCCTCTTGCAAATTTGCAGAAGTATATTGCGGGTACAAGAATTGCTTACCAAGTTGGGAATTTAAGTATGCACTACTCCCCAACTCATTCAGGCCATTACTTTCCTGTACTGTATTATTATCAACTTGTACTGAATTGCCGATATCAGTTTGTTTACCAGAGGCAAAGAAACCAGAATAACCAGCAAGGGAGCCATCTGTAGGGCACTCCGTATCTCTGGACAAAAGAAACGCCAAAAATTAAAATGTTATTTATATGCCACCTGCAACAAATCATTTGAGATTAAAAACAACCATATCTCTGCTGGTTAGCCTCGAGAGAAATTTTCTATTCATAAAGTTGAATGTCGAAGCATAATAGGAAATGAATTTGAAGGTACATATCCGTAAAGATCTTACAGATTAGGGAGGAAGTTTGGATCATTTTGCAATAACATTTGCTGATTGTCATTATTCGGAAACCATTTAACAGGCTGGCCTTCTTGCACCCCAACCATCATCACAGGCAAAGGCATCGCATTCTGAAACCGTAAGCCAGATAAGTTGTAAGATATTCCCCCAAGACAAAAAAGAGATGGAATAGAGTAAATACTTCTGCTACCTGGCTAGTGGATTCTAGTGGCAGAAGGTCCTTTCCATAGTTTTCCTGCCAAGATGGTAGCATGCATAACTAATTTATACGTAATTATTGCTCGGATTCTTAAATTGGTAACTTTATCGGTACAAAAGAGGCTAAAGAACCAAGCAGTTTTCATCAGGACCTAGCATGGCTAACCTTTATTGTTAGTTTAACCCTATGTCACTCAAACTCGGGTGTGAGTGTTGGATACAAGTATGTGTCAGACACCGGTGTGGTCAGATTTTCTAAGTTTTTCCGTGTATTTGGAGGATCCTTGGAGGTCATATCCCCCTATCTATGTGCCATACACGAGTATTAGACACTGATACTTCAAGAAAAATGAAGAGTCGGAGAAACATAGAATTAAACAACATTATCATTTGAACCGAGTAAATACGCACAATATGTTGATACTTGATTATACTCTATATGTGAACAATATACGTAAACATGTATATATGTATATATGCATGTCTGTATGCATATTTGTTTTTGTACTTTGAAAGAAAACAACATACCTTGTGTATCCGGATACGCTCAATGGATTCTCTTAGCGAATCTTCCATCTGCCTGAGATGATCTATGTTGTCAATTTTATCCGGATTACTCCAGTAGCTGAAATCATCGCATGATAAAATTAAAATTACTCTTATTACTCCGTAAAGCAAATAATCATGAACACAACCAAAATAAAGAGAGAGAATGCAAAACAACAACATTAATGTCTTATCATCCAAAAATTAGAGGCGAGTTATTAACAGGGTTTGAGTTATAGCAGCAACTTAAGATGAACGAGTTAATCACCAGAGGCATTATCCCTTTTCAAGCAGTTTGTTATGATACAAAAGTTTTAAATCTAGGCTTTTAATTATCTAGGTGATCTAGCATTAATCGACAAGTCAATCACTTAAATTATAATTTTTCTAATTGTAATATCCCTATGATAATATATAGCATCATTAAACTTATGACAAGTTCGTTCCCACCCCTAAACTCACCGTATCTTAATTCCGATCAAATTGCCAATAATCATTAAAGATTAGTTTATAGGATGTTCTAACAGACAAAGATTGCATGCCTTGCAATAGATCAGAGTTAAGAATATAATTTACTATTACATGATAAATGGCAAGCCTGCTTCTTATCTCATGCAAACATTTTATAAGCAAGAACAAAAAGAAAAAGCAATACTTTAACAACCAAAAGCTCCAAAGGTGCACCTCAGTCTCTTATGTACTTCATTAAGCCGAGCTTGCAACATTGTTACTTCATTAGTCATTTCCTGAAAATAGCAATATCCAAGAAACATAACAAAAAGAACAACTAGAAAATCTGAGATCAAATGGGACGTAGGTTGCAAGCAAACTTCATACCTCGACAGATTGACTGCTGCAACAATTAATAAAGGAAAAAAGAAGTGAGAGATCAGAATCTTCCCAATCTCTTAAAGAGAAACGTATTAACTGGAAGAAAATGAAATAACGGTCACATACGTTGCACCTAGAAACTCTTGTATGTTTAAATCATGGTCCAATTTCTTGAAGGTTTTCTTCAGTGCCTATATTCAAAATAACAGGACTGAAAAATTAGAACGATAGAAGAGTAATAAGGCGTTACTCTTCACTTGAAGTAGAATATATTGAACAATGAGTTGTTAAGGAGTCTTACTTCAAGGCTCTCCAGCTTCCTGTAGTGGACCAATAAAAACCAGTTAGCTAAAATGTCATTTGAATACCAAAGATTACTAAATGAGTCAAGATTCAGAGTGCACACCTTTTTGCCCTTTCTTGTGGCGTTAATTGTGCAAACTTCGCAATAACCTCTTTGATAGAGCTGGGGAAAAAAGGCAAACAAGCACCAAAAATGAACCCCATTGATTACCTTACTCAATTTAAACATAACTAAATGCACACATGTATGATTATTTAGACAATCATATACCTATGGCTATTTTAGAATAGCTTGTTATGTGCCTGACACGGTGTTACTAGGAAAGCGAAGAATCACGGTAACATAGATTTTAATAAATATAGGTATACTATTAAATTAAAAAAAATACCGGACAAATCCAGAGATCAAAAGTGGCAGAAAGCATAAATCATTAAAATCCTAGTAAACCATGCCTACTAAATAATCCAACTAATCATCAAAATTGTCTAAGAATAAGAGTGCTGCAAGGGACACTTGCACAAGAATTTGTATCTTTATCTGCAGCTATACACTAATTATCAGTATATATATTCTACTTCTGACACTATTTATATATTGTATTGATATAAAACTGATTTTTTAATGAAAAAGTTGAATGTGGTTATCATTTGCAAACGAACAGGATTTTAGATGTTTCAAAGAACCAAAGAAGTGAGAATTCCCACAAAAATAATAGCATCAATTCATTGATCTCCAGTGAAACATAAACTTAAGCCCTCTAAGAAATTAAACGACGATTCCATCCTTTCGATACCTGCGCTCTCCATGGAACAGTGTAGGCTTTCCGGTTGGAGAAAACATGAGAAGGATAATATGAACGTCACATAATATCGATAATTCCTTGGCTTTCTTCAAGATTCCAGTTCTTCGTTTCGAATACGTAACTTGTCTGTTGCTATAGCTCTCTAACCTTTTTATTTTCAGTTTCACCCTACCCATTCTGCAAATTCGCAAGAAAAATCACGTCATTTTCTTAAAACATATTATCATTTTAAGTCTAAAAATCCCCACATATACTCACATTAATTAAGCGAGATAAAGCTGTGCAAGTGGAGCTCTCATCCCAGGCACCAACATTAAACAACCATGTGATCTTGAATAGATTTTCAGACGAAAATGCTCAAAATTGAAAAATTAGAAGAAAATGAAAAATGTTGAAACATAGAAAAGGGAAGAAATTGTTGACACCCTTCATCGAGTTCCCTTTCCCATTGAAACAGGGCATATCTTATCAAAGTTTTTAAGTTGGATATGATCAAAATTTTCTCTTCGTCCCTAAAGAAAACCCAATTTACAGAAACGGAGTATACCCAGAAGAGAAAATCATTGAGGAATAAGAAAACAACAGTAGTTTTGATGAATTCATAGAGATTAAAAATATAAGAGAGGAGGGGAGGAGGAGGAAGGGTCATGCTATGATTTCGGTGGATAAAGCCACACTGAGATTTCGTTTCTTCAGGAAGAAGAGGAGAGCTTAGAGACGGTGGAGAGAGCCAGCCAAATGGACGGTGAAATGTTCCACAAAATGTCCCAAGAAAATCTAAACCAGATGATTGCATAATTTGGGCCGGGTAACTTCTTTTAAAATTTAATGTTTAATAAACGTTTATAAGATAAAAAAATATTTTTATTAAAATTTATATATTTTATAATAATTATTTAAAATTATTAAATTACTCTTGAACTTTTGGGGAAAATGCTGTTCTTGAATAAAAAGAATGTCACATACTGTACGGCCGACCTACATGGACATGTATAATTCAAATAAATAAATAAATTTTATACTTCATTATATCTGTAATCATTATTTTAATTTCTTAATACTTATAATAATTATTTTAATTTTATATTTCATTAAAATTATAATAAATAATATTAATCATGATTATAGAACAAATAATAATAATAATATATGTAAAAATTTGTTAACATCGTGATAAGTATAGTTTTCATAAAAAGTTAGTGTAAAGATTTTAATTATACTTGAATTAAAAAAATAAAATTGAACGAAATTTATAGATAATAATAATTAATCAAATATATTATACGTATATCTGTACATATCTAAATTTAAGGATGAAAATTATATATAATTATACTTAAATTCAAATATCGAATGATCTCTTAAATACAATATATGTTTAAATAATTTAATATCAAATTTTTAAATAAATATATTCAACAATTTTATCAAAATTTTAAATAAATACGTACATTAATTTTAATTTTAGCATATGTTGGAAAACCTAATTAGTGACTTTAGTGTAAAAAGAAATTTTATTTTTTTAGATATTTTAGATTCAAATAATTTTATCTATAAGTGTATATGATTTTATTATATTTATGTTTAAATTTATACACAGATATTACATTCTAATTATATTAAAATCTTAAAAAAAATATTATACACTAAATATTTTATTTTAAAAATTATATTATAATATTAATAATAAGAAAATTAATTTACTTAAATTATTTAATATTTACATAATATAATCATATATCAAAATATAATAAAAAATAGTATATAAATATATCAAAACTTCTCCCAAAAGCCATTACAGTCCTACAGACCTTGAATTGCTTAACATAATAGCAAAAATGGCAGGAAATGAAATCAAGTAATAATAGTAAAAATAATTAAACCCTACAAAATATTGCGAAAAATAAGTGGCGGCCGGGGTGGTTAAACCGAATCTCCACCGCCTCCGCTGCCATTTTATCTGTCTCCGACAATATCAAAAGAGAGCAGAACAGAAACTAAACCCATTAAATTCTAACTTCAATCACCATAACATTAATATACCATCTACGACTTTACTTCTAGACTCGGATTTATATAGTAGTAGTGAAGATCGTAATTTTCAGGATTCAGGTGAATTGTGGGCCGGCAAAGGTTTGTCCAAAGGACCAATGAGGCGGAACGACATTGTTAGAGACGAGAGTGCGGCCGTCACTGGTGGTGACCTTAAAAGACAGGCTCTGTCCATTAAGGTAAGTGTTGCTCTGCCAGTTTTGGCCGCAGTTCCTCGACATCGGTTGCCAACCGGTTCTCGACCCTTTAACCGAAACCGATTGAACATCACCGGCACCACCGACGTTGGTGATGAGGACTAGGTTGAAGTATGAATGACCATTGATTGTAAATCTTATTCCGCCTCTCTTCCTGCAAGCTACCCTATTAAAGAATAAAAGAAGAAATATTCTGTTTAGAAATTCTGGATACATATAATTACGTACGTAGAATAGAATATTTATACGTTATTAATGATTAAAAAAATTAATTAATATTATTTTATCGTCGCTTAAATCGTTAAAGAAAATTCAATTTTTCAATTCAACTAATTAAATTAAGATTTGTGATAATAGTACCTTCTATAAGCTACAGGGACAATCCCAGCTTTGTATTGTGCAATATGTTGGAAAACAGGCTGAGAGAGATCAAAATGTTGCAAAGGAGGGTTGCACCAGCCGCCGGCATTGTTCGGCGGGAAGAAGTCGGTGGTGGTGACCACAATCGAGCCAGGAAAACACCAGCGCCGGTCATTCACGCACTTGATCCCGAAACAAGCTCCACAGCTCTGCCCATTATTAAACAGCGCCGTGCTTAAAGCTGCCGTATTAGTATGGTTTTCAGAACTAAACCGGTTAGCGAACCGGTTATGCTACCGGTTCACTGATTTAATCGATCGAACCGATCCGATCGGTCGGAAGAGTCGGACGACGTCATAATTATTTAAAAAATTAAATAAAAATACCAAAAATATTTAATAAAAATTAATTTTTTATATCACAAGTTATATTCAAAACAAGTCATAACATATTCAAAACAAGTCATAAAATCAAGTGAAATAAAATGACAACATAATATTTAAGGTAAAACATATTAAATAATAAATATAATTATATAACTATAATTAAAAAATAAATTTGGGATTAAAAAAATCATAACAAAATGATATTGTTGGTTTAATTTTTTTAAAACAATTTCGCATGGCTA